TCAGAACAAACTGTTATAAATTGGTATAAAGCTAGGTCACAAATTAAAAGAAAGGGTAAATGAAGAAAAGAGTAAACAGAACTCATAAATGAAGAAAGTTTACTATTCTGACGCCACATAACTCAGAAGAAAGCCCCTGCAAGATTCTAATTTCCAGTTTTTGAATGTAGAGGGATTGTTATATATTTGGTTCTCAAAATCAAAGCATTTGTACTAAATCAGCCCCAGCAATCGGAACCCAGAAAAACCGGCCGTTTTTGAAGTCTAGTTTTAGGATTCAACTCACTTGTTCTTCCTCTCTCCATTGTAGTCATCCATCAGTCTCTCCACATCCCTCCAAAATAGGCCCTCGACAAGGATCCCATCCTTCGTAAACCTGTTCAGTTAAAAAGCAACAATGAAATATTAAAACTATTTGATCAGTTGAAAGAAAGTTGTTTATATTAGCTGTGACTTACTTCATTACTTTAACATCAAGTTTTATTTGTAAACTAAAATAGGACGGGTTATCAAAATTTCTCATGTAGCTGCCAAAAAGAGAAAAAAAAAAGTATAGATTTTGGCTTCGTTTGGGACGGCTTTCTTACGGCTGCTTAAAGTAGCTTTCTAATGCAAAATTTTTAATTTTTGTACTACAAAGCTGCTTTAAGAAGCAGAAAGAAAGCCGTCCCAACAACTTTCTTATTAATTTCTTCAAAAAAATTTGTACTAGAAAGCTATTTTGAAAAGCAGGAAGAAAGCTGTCCCAAATGAAACCTTAGTATAGCAATTGCATATGTATGCTTTAGCTCTTAACCAACAAAGCCAAATCTAGGTAGATTACTGACACTAGCAAAAAGTTATTAAACAACCACGTAAAAGGAACCACATATATTGGAAATTTGAAATCTGCATGCCTACAAATTAATCAAGGGGGGTTTCCATGCATAACATAAAATTCTAATTTATTTATATTTGTAGCACCTAAATCTTTATATTTAGGTGCATAACATTCAAATCATACAAAAATACCCTTAATATTAACTTATTTAAAGTAAAACACACATTTTCATGAATATAATTTGCCGTCATTAAAATGGCATTGGGGAAATATAAAGAAGTTATGTTAGATATGTAAATTCATAAGAATTTTGTGATATTCCTAAAGACGCTTATGTATTTAAACAAACAGCTCATCCTCTTATGACTAAGATTTTCTTTAACGTAATTCGCCAGGAATCTGAGACCAAAAGAATTGAACAATAAAATTCAAATAAGAGCAAAAAGTTACCATTTTGTGACACTCTTGATAAGTTGCACTGATTTGTTTGCAGAAATGGATTTTGGATCCGCACTAGCT